ACGGCCAGTGATAATGGTGATAAAGTTTATCTAACCAGAATATATGTGCGTTACATCCGTTGTTTGGGATTAACACCGCGCGCCGACATCCTTCGCGCGCGTTACGTCAAACCTCGCGAGATTATCCTTGTACGCTTTCAATCTCTCTCGCGGAATTTCATATTCCTGTCGCTACCCGACGTTATCCGGGAGGGGAAAGACCCCCGATGGTATTGCAATTTATAGCGATCGTCGCCGTTGACGGAATTAAGTCGTCCTTTTCAGCAGGAGGGACGCGCGATCTTTTTTTTTTCCCCTCCGTCCTCACGTCTCGTGTCTCAGGCTCGAAAGTATTAGCCGTCTACTTTTTTTCAATAAAAAAAATAAAGAGTTTACACAGAGAGAGAGAAAGAGAGCACCGTCGATCCTTACTACGTATCATTCGCACAATATTATCCATATTATATCTCTCTAAATCTGTGCGATAAAAATTTCGAAAAATTTTAGGATCTTCCCCTTCCTCTCCGTTCCTCGGGCACGTAGGCCACGTATAGGACAAAATACAGCGATCTAAGTCATAAAATTCTCTCTCTCTGATTCTCTCCCTAGAGAAACCCGTGGCCCTTCACAATCCTGGGAACAAAATCAATCGGAACAACGGAACACGGAGGATGCACCGATGGAGCAGCAACAGGGACCGGCAATCGTCCTACTTCCGCAACGGTTTCAGATTTCTGTGCTGCGCCGCGAGCACTAATTACGTTTAACGTATTATACACACACACGACTCATCCTAGCTCGATTCATTAAGAACGTTAATATATAGCTCCGATTATGTGAATAATTAATACGCACCGACTATTTTTTCGCGCGCGCTGCAGTGATTTCAACGCTAAATTCCCTGAAAATGAAGTTAACCAGGAATCGAGATGGCGCGGCGTTTCGTAAATTTGTATATAAATTAACGAATCCGCGGTGAAAAGTCCCCGTTTGTGAAGTAAACCCCCGAGGAGGGCGCGGTGGTTAATAGTTTGGCGATTTATTTTTCGAAGAAACGCTCACACAATGTCGCCTCACTTTCGACGAAACTTTAATATTCGCGCCTTCATTTATCGTAATTTCTCAAGCCAGTTTCCGCATCATTAATACACGTCTCGCTTGGGATATAACTCTTTTACGAGAGACAAGACGGGTAAAGAACGTCGCAACGATGTATAATCGACGGGAGATGCCGTATATATACCTTCGAGGCCTAACGGAGAGGCCTAAAACCTAAAGTACCGCTTGCGAGATATCCTTGGAGCAAATTTTTAACGTACGTACAGCCGGTGACAATCAAAGTAGCAGCTCGATACGCCGATAATTATTAACAAACCGCATCGCGGACGGATACACGGGTAAACGGATGACGGGACCGGATGACGGGGGAAAAAAGGGGAGGGGGGGGGGAATTTCAGCACCTTTTTAGCATCTCTCAGCAAGAAATTCTAGTGGCACTCGATACTACTCCCATTTTTTTTTTGGACGCCCTTTCAAGTCTCTCCTAAGAACTCGCTGCCCCATTAAATTTCCAAGTCACGGACGAAAGGGCACCGCCGCCGGTGTGTCGAGAGGCAGCCCTTTTGTTCAAGTCCACTCCACGATCGCTTCATCAATCCCGCTATATAATTGCTCGGATGATCTAAGAACTATCGAGTTTTGCCTAAATCGATTCTAATTTTACGATTCTCACGTCGTGAAGAATTTCGTCGCGCTTAGATCTGTCGTTCGTGTCAAAAAAAAATTTAATCGAGAATCTTCAACAAGGTATGTAGAATAATAATCAAAACTAGCTCGTAAAGATCTTCCGATTCCGGGTCTTCATATCCTAGGATCTATAGACGAAAAATGCAAATTCGAAAATTGTATTGTCGAATATATATAATATCAGTCAGAGTAAAATCTCGCGTCTGTGTGTCGTGTCAAAGCGAGAGAGTAGATGTACGTTGTGGAGCAATTATAATATCCTAGCGTATTTACAAGTGAGTGGACCAACCTCGATCTATTTATAATGCGCGACGGACGCGCACGCATTATAGCCCTAGGTATACGCGCGTTTCGCATCTCGCGTATATATATGTATATAGAGATTGTCTACAAAGCAATACGTAGGAGGTACACACGCAGAGAAGCGTTGCGCGAAGATATACATATATACATATATATATATATATATATATATATATATATATATGTATGTATAAACGAACATATAGACTTAGTCGGTGCACGCCCGTTCATACATTTCTCTCGCATGTATGAAGCGTTATGTGCAGCCGGAAGCAAAATCGTTATCTCGTGACTTTAGCCCTAAACAGTATCGTGCGTTATATTCAATAAAAATAAAGAAGAAATGAGAGAGAAAGATCGCCTATCCAGCTTTAACGATCAACGTTTTGTTCCGGAAGGTCGCTTTTGTCGCTTTAACTCGCAATAATAGATCTATTCATGTGATACCACAGTGCAAAAGGGATATTTTTGTATTTTCGCACAAATGGAGCGTTACTGTTTCGGGTTAATAACGATGCTGCGTGCGACCAGCGCGGGCGTCTGTGAAGAAAGAAAGAAAAAAAAAAGAGACAAAAAACAGGAGAAAAAAGAGCGAAGAGATCGATCGAGAGTCGTCAAACAGCCTGTGTACATTTACAACCCGCAATAATATAATGTAAAAGATACGAGAGATATTTTGTTACTTTCCCTTTTTATCCGAATATTCTGAGCATACTTTTTAAAGGAGAGGGGGGAAAAAAAAGAGCGATCGCACACCTTTTGAGTCTTTCCCGCGTTTAATCGTTGCGTTTTCCATCAAAAGGGATCCATACGTGATACCGCGAACGTTTCCACACAATAAACTCGATTGAGTTGTTACGTATGTAAATTAGACTAAGATCGTACTCGTGTAACGTGGGCGCAATGCAGGCGAGAGAGAGAGAGAGAGAGAGAGAGAGAGAGAAAGGGAGAAAGAGAGACTATTTTGTAATGACCGTTGCGCGCGGAAAAAGAGATGAATTGGGAGACGCAGAATATGACTCGCGGGAGGAACGACCCGCGTCCTGTTTCTTCTCCTGTTCCAATAAGCGACGCGAGATTGTACGTTCGATTAAATTACACATATCAATCGTGATCGGGATCGAAGAAAGAGAAACAGAGACAAAAAAACGATAGGCGACCTGATCGTATGTCGTTTACTTAAATAATCGGTGTGGCCTCGGGATATCGGAGTTGTGCGTGGAATAACGGATCAGTGCGGATCGCTCGTTTCCTTTTCGAGGGGATGGACCGCGTCGCCCGAATCACCGGATTCTTTACGACGACCGGACGATACCAGGTAGAACATATAGAAGCAAATAATGTCATAATGACGTTAATTCTTACATTATTTGTGACTTATGAATAAAGACACAATGACATCCTTATGATATCGTATGACTTCATAATGACTTTATCATTACACGGGGAGAATTTCCTTTTAAAATTTACCCTGAAAATTTTGTTAATCGTGGGACAACATATAGTATCTCGACAAATTTTACTGTTACACTACAATAAATTTGTTGTAGTGTATATTTAAAAAAAAAAGTGAAAATCATATAAAATTCGTCGAAATACTATGTTGTTCTACGATTAACATGATTGTCAAGGTTTTTAAAATAAAATTCTCTCCGCGATATGAACTTTATCATTATGACTACATCATTATGACTCTTGTGTTTTACCTAGAGGTAGCGTTACCTCTCGAACTGGCGATTCGACTGTTCCCCTGCGTTCCTTTAGTCCTATCGCGGTGTAAAAAAAAAAGGGGACCGAAACTACTCGAATATTTCACTTCGTCGAATTTTACGTTGAGGGAACACTATATGTATAATGAAAGAAAAAGTAAAAACAAAGGATATATTATAGAGCTGATATATCGTATTTTTAGGCGATAGAGAGAAGAGAAAAAGTGTGAGAGCGTTTAGGTGCCGTCACTTTTCGGCCTCGTAAAAGTGACGGCAAATATAGCGAAATCAAATTAAGATGAAATATATAATGTATCACGTTGACGAAATAAAAATTTGACTCGTTCGAGACGAATCTGATTCGTCATTGTGTCCCGTATTTTTAATCCCGACCATTCTTTGATTCCTATTACGTCCAATTGTTTGTCTCATTGGCTCTTCTAAATCGGGTTGGTTGAGAGATGAAAAATAAATACGTGTCTGCGTCGCTTATATTTCGGCCGAGACGTTACGAGGATAACTTGCGAATTCAGTCCGCCGGAATCGGGGACGTGAGGGGCTAATTCTCGGCAAATGTAAAAAGTTTCGGAGAAACTCGAGTGGAAGGCGACTCACCGATAAAGAGTTGCGTCGCGTTCTCCCGCCGCTCCCTCACCTCCCTCCGGGGCCGCCGTTTCCCATCCTCGTTAGACACGCGCGCGGAGCGCGCGTAATTAACTTCTTCCTCCTTTGAAAGTGGCCTTCCAGTCCACCTCTGATCTGGGATCTGATTTGGTCAGCTCGCGTAATTAACGCGGGTCAGCGCGCGTACCGAAACGCAACGGGGGACGCGAAATCGTATTTTCGAAGCCCGAGACGCGCCGCGAATCCCGACCGTCCCGACGGCGACTTTCGAAGGCAGGCCGCGGCGACATCTCGCGCGCGCCAGGCGAACTGAATCCTCGTTCTTCGTGGGAAACGTCGTTGTCTACCGTTCCGCTCCTCGAGTCTGCCCTAACCTATGACCGATGACATCGCGCGACCCGTTTTTAACATCGATCGCCTCGAACTCTCTTTCCTTCTCGCGCACTCGTTTGATTATTGTTAAACCGCTCGGCGAGCACGATTCTGAGTCACGACTGGCACGAGTATTTCGTGCGCACGTCCCGATAAATGCCGATACCAGAGAGATGCCGGAGAGAGCGGACCGGTGGCTACGCGGTTCAACGTTTCGCGCACGAGGGGGCGCCACTGAACGAGTCCCTTCACACTCCTTTCTCTGGCTCCTATACACATAGTGCTCCTACACACTCTCGCATTATATAATGGTGGCCGTGTGAGGCCCGTATTTTGTTCCTCCGATCGCTGCGAAATTCTTAAAGATGTCTGTTGGTAGAATAATTGTGAGTAAATACGCGTTACGACGCTAAAATTGTTCTTGAATTGCTCCGGCGTTAAGATCAGCCTTCACTGTTTAAAAATAGTTATAAATATGACGTATAAATGTAACGTGTATTTTCACAGAAATCAAAATGCATTTGTCGTTCGCGTAACACACGATTGCACAAGGATATTTCGCCGCTTGCCTCGAAATTGCTTGTCAATAATGCGAACGGTTTCTTATTTCAGACACGTACCTTTTCCACGACAACCGCCGCGCAGCAGCTGGTGAAGGTATTTAATTTTGACAAGTGCCTGCGTACCTTTCTGCTCTTGATCGAATACAAGCCCATGAATCCAGTCCAATAAACTTTCTGAAAGTTATTTTGCAAGCTCTCCACAATTATCCCCGCAGTAGTTTCGTAGTACAAGTTCTATTAATTCATTATTATCAATTGTTCATACACGTGTCGATTATCTTTATCCCGATTCGCGTATTGTTGCAGCCTCCAGTTCAAGTCTTCGGATTAGAAGGCAGGTATGCCACGGCCCTTTACTCAGCCGCGTCCAAACAGAAGGTCTTGGACGCGGTGGAGAAGGATTTAGTTGGTTTACAGGTATGACAATCTAATGTAAACATAAAAAGTTACACTGTGGTGTGTCACAGGTATTTATCTCGATACTGATCTGTGGTTGTGTTTTCGAATCAGGGTCTCCTAAAGCAAAACGCCACACTGATAGACTTCATAAAAAATCCCTCGATAAAGCGAAAGGACAAGATGGATGCTTTCAAGGCGATCGGAACCAAGAGCAAATTGACTCCGGCCACCGAAAATCTGCTGACGTTGCTCGCGGAGAACGGCCGGCTGTCGAAGCTCAATGTAATCATCAATCTGTACAAGGTGCTGATGGCCGCCACCCGAGGGGAGGTGGTGTGCGAGGTGATTACCGCGAGTCCGCTCGACGCCGACACGAAGGCGAAGCTGGAGTCGACGCTGAAGCGTATGCTGAAGAAGGGCCAGACCATTTTGCTCACCATCAAAGTAGACCCCTCCATCATCGGCGGTATGATCGTGTCGGTAGGTGATCAGTATGTAGACATGAGTGTCGCTAGCAAAATTAAAATGTACACCGACCTCATTGAGGGCCCTGCGTAATGAAGCACGTAGCGATGCGAAAAGTAACGGAGTAAACTGTCGCATACTCATATGCATATATATATTCGAGTATCATGTAAATTATCGGACAGAAATAAAAACTGTAATCAACCAACCTAAATCCGCAGTGATTATTCTCTATATCATACGGTTATGTTAATAGAAAAAAAGAAATAACATGAGTATTGATTGTAGTTGAGCCTTAGAACTGTGATTTTATTCTTCATAGTTGACAAAGCATTATAATTATTCGATACATAAATGTATAATTATTCATTAATCATTTGTATTTAACTTTTCGTACCTTGCAGAGTACTAATAATGTGCGCGGCGAGGTGATATACTTTAGAGCCATGCAATGTTCTCACATGTTATATAATATTTCTGTATTTTTTTTTCTCATAAAAACGGAAATAAACCGCAAATTCGAGACAAGTCTATACTATAGAGCAATAATACGTATGATACTAAAAAAAATACTGTTGAGCCTAGTGTCCCGAAGATCACTATTTGTCTGATATAAATTTACAAACTTACGCAGAACGTAGCAATGATGAGTGACTCGCATAAACTTACATAAAACTTTCGCTAAACGAAAATTGTAAATTTATAATACGATATCGAGTGATGGTGATACACCATACCGATGGTATATCTTCGCGTGTGCTTGGCAGGTGTTTAGATATGTAAAAATACTATTTGATTATACAAAATACATGTTGAACATGATATTATTACCTGAGCATTGCATTATGCATAGCTTTCCCAAAATAGTCAAAATATGTATATAATATAAATAATAAAATATGTATTTCAACAAATTGTAAATTTAGATGATTACTGAATTTAGGTGCTATGTTAAATAATAGTACTATGTTAAATTAACGTAACTACATTTTAAATAATATTCAATTTGTAAAAGGCTACATTCATTAAATATATTAATAATTATATACGTAATTAATAATTTAAACAATCAATATGCTATCCAAATTGTGACTAGTATTATCTTTCAATGATATTTGCGAAATGCATTTTTGTTTGTTAATATACGAACGTTCATAATTGCATGTCTCAGGACTTCACGATGCATATAATTTGATAACAGATATCATTGCCCGATATTGCACACGTAATATCCAAAATTATAAAACATTTCAAACATATTCTTCTATCTCGTACAATAATTTATATTGTTAGCGTTTGATAGCCGATAAAATGGAAAAGTTTACCTTTAAAATAGCCCTTTCACACGATCAATGGAACATGCCTTATACAAGAAAAAAAATCCGCAATGAGAGAATTTACTCGTTACTCCAAAAACTGCTCTCATTTCACGCAATGTCGCGTAATTCTCTAACTATTTTAAAAATTATCTTCTCAATAATATATTGACATATGTACAAAACGCGAGGCAATTACTACGTACGACTTTTGCTTAAAACATAATCGATGGTATATCATCCTTGACTAAAACCCAATCTTCTTCCTCCTCGAGGATGGCGGATGTGGCGCATTCCTTTGCCAAAGCTGCAAGCACAGGAACACATTCTGTGATATTCATCAGCTTGATCTGCGCTACACAAATGTCACGGTCTCGATAATTACTCACCGTTAAATTGGTGTTCTAGCTCGTCTCGATTCGCAAGCGGCTCTCGAACGTCGACGAAATTATGACCAGCTGGTGGGGCGTCAGCCAGCTTATTTAGTAAAAGGGTCTTTCTGCACTCCCCGAGATCCTCTAACCGCTTCAATTCGGTGCGATAACTGACATCCTCGTCCCCCGACTCGGTTCCCGTGTGATCGCTCTGCTCGACGATCTCATTCTCCTCACTCGCAATCGGCTCCCCACCGTTCACCGCATCGTTGGAATGTACGTTACAGTTGATGCACGTTATCGCATCCATACGACTCGATATACACGACAAGTCGTTGTCTACTTGACTACTCGTCATGTAATTGGACAAATCGAAATCCGTACGGTTCGATACACTCGACAAGTCCTTGTCTTGTATTTGACTACTCGTCATGTATTTAGACAAATCGAAATCCAAGACGTCCGCCAACAGTTTCTCCTTGTTCTCCACGTCCCGCTGAATCATTTCTAAATCTCGATCTGACTTCAATATAAAATCATCGTCGAAGCTCAACTGCATTAAAGACGAATGGGTCGTCGTCGTCGTCGTCGTCGTCGTGTTGGTGTTCATGTGATCGGTGCTTAAACTTCTCGACATATGATCAGTGCTGCCGTCAGGCACCGTGACACCCTCGCACCCGTTCGCTGCTTTATTCCGAGACCGCTTCTGCTTCCTTTCGGGCGTGAAAACGACGTCCTCGAATTCCTGTTGGCCAATCCTCTGGAATATCTCCCGGCGATCGTTGCTCCTCGCGTCTTCCGCGCTTCTGTTGCTATCGTTATATTCCGGTATTTTATTAATATCAGTTATGAGCGTAGTATTTAAGTCTATTGGAACTATCGGCGGCACTTCCACAGCTTCCTCTGCGTTTGTAATCGCATTGTCGTCCGTACCAACAGTAACAGTCGGCACAATGCTACAATTTACAAAAAAAATATATATATATATAATTTTTAATTCTAATACGTAATGCAGTTTATACAGGCATAGATTTATCCACATTTTGGAAGTAATCTTTTACTCACCCTACAGATTGAATAATGTTGGTTGGATTGATTTTGGGAAAAGGAATAGCTGGCACTATACTACTTTCCTTTAATTTTGACGTTAATTCTAGTATACCATTAGCAACTGGTTTACTGTATTCGGCGAACGATAATAAAGGATCCATTGTCTTCCTTATTTCTTCTGTAGGAAAATCAATGATTATTCAGCGCGTGACGATTTTTTATCTAATTACATCCAATTTAGAGAAACAATAATTATTTAATGCCCACCTGTAAAAATATCATTTTCCGGATAATAGGCAATTCGCAAAATATTTCTTTCTCCCTCCAATACAAATATTTCGTCTTTAGTGCAAGCCACATCGGTAACGCGCCGTAAATCGTTTACGATCGATGTTATCGCAATAGTATTTGGATTCACTACGTAGACTACGTCATCACAGTACGTTACTAACAAATCATCGCAAAACGGTAACACGATGCCGAACGAAGGCTCGCCACGATTCTTCCTCGATCCTTCGGGTGCGGGATTTAATAACTCCACCTCTGTATGGCCCGATCTAACTGCATCCTTTTTAAAATATTCACAATTTGATAATACATATAACATGATGAATGCAGTATGAATGCATAATGTAATGTATGTTAACTTGAATACCTTAAATATGAGCGTTTTCAGCACAGTCCCGACCTTATCAGCTTGCCATAAACGTAATCCTGGTCTACTTGCATAGATTAGCGGTTCTTGCACATAATTTTGTCGCGAGCCGAACACCGCTCCCAGCTTGCCTAGTCTAAAGCACCGAAACGTTACATTTCTTCTAATTTATGCTGCAATAAAATTAAAATATGAGAACACTAACGTTTTACGTTCTTTCTGGCCGACTTGCGTCACTTTCCCATTTTCATTTCTGTTCACCAAGATTGTACGTAACGTCGTTGAGACTAGCAGCAAGCCCTGCTGGTAGCTCAATTGCACCACCGAATATTTCTCGTTCAACAATTTCGATGATTTGGATAAATGCTGCGAATAGTATAAAATGTCAAAATCTATTTGGTTTTTATATGGGAGAGTAAAAGAGAAACCAGGAAAATAAATTTTTGGCATCTAATTACCATATAAAAATCGATCTCCGTTAAAACTACTAAACCGTCTTTATCTCCACTGAACAATTTCATGCCATTTTTAGACCATTCCACTGCTGTCACCGCGGTATTGTGCAAGCCACTTATACTGTATCTCTCCACCTTGTAACAAAAATACCAGCGAGACATTCGTATAATTCATATTTCCATATTACACATACATATATAAGTTCCATCTTTATCATTTACCTGTTTCTTCTGTTTTGGCTTTAAACTGTTTGGCAGTGAGTCCGGCGGATTCTTGGGAATTTGAAAAACTGTAACAACGCCGTGCTCATTGCCCGCCGCGACCATGTAATCGACCGTGGAGATGACTTGCACGCTCGTGATCTTGGAGTTTACATTCTGTGAAAAAAAAAAAAAAACAGATATTACCTTTAAAAAATTAAAAACAACTCGGTTAAGTACTCAATTTGTTTAAAGGGGCGAAAGTAGGCGTCTCTCTCTCTCTCTCTGTGAAAGGTCCCTCCAAGTACCTCGCAACGCAATCTCTGCAGATCCTGTTTTTCTCTGTTGTACCAGTAAACGAGCCCGTGATTAGTTCCAATGGCGATGAACTCGGTCAGGGCGTCGATGCAGGTGAAACTGATGTCTTGGGTGAAAATACCGTTCTGCACCTTGGCAGGTATCTGCTGCAGCAGGACGGCGAGGGGCGCCCATTCTCTCAACGGTCCACCATCCTCGCACATGGGAGTTGTCATTGTCACTACAAACATTCCACATACAGCATCACCGTATACTGTATTTACAGATAACATTGTTATATATATATTCGTAGCGTTGAAAAACTCGAAACTTTGCCGCCGCGGTCCTGAGAGCGAATTTCTCCAAAACACGGAATTTTTGACACTGACGTGTGAAAGGTGCTGTATGTGACTCTTATTGTGGAGAAAGCGATAGATTTCCAATTAAAATTTTCCAAGCAAAACGAGACAATCACAAACATGACAATCGCGGAGACGCAGTATTTTTACGTTTCAGTATCAAATTACTGCAACATAACAACCCGGGAAATATACAAATATATACCTCCGTTTTGGAATGAGAGACGCAAAGAGGCGGATTTGACCGGCGTTTCTCTTTCAAGTCTCCTTTTTTTCCCTGCTTTCCCTCAAACGCTACGTGGTTTCCACCTTTCCGACGCGACGCGAGGGTCTCATTACGGATAAACGTTCGCGGCTGTTACGTGTGCACAGTGGTGCACGGTGATGCATGTGTACGTGGTGCCCGTCGACGTAGGCATCTCTCCGAACGAACGCGAATGCGGAAAACACACGCGTCCCTCCGAATTCTGTCTCCCTTCCTCTCTTTCTCTCTCTCTCTCTCTCTCCTCTGTTCTGTATTTACGGCCTTACGGGTCGTGTTAATTACGTGGCACTCATGGCAGAGTCGCAGCTGCGAGGCGCCGCGGCTAGAGAGTGGGGCTAGAATACTCTATTATTGCGCTTCCATCGCTCTCGCACCTGCAATCCTTTATGCCCCTACGAGTCGATAAACCATCGATTAAACCGCGTTGCGATAAACGCTATCGGGAAATTAAATATTCTTCGCTTGACGTCGATGCGCATACTACGTAACGTGACGTAACAGCAAAACGCACGTGCGCGCGCGCGTGTATATGTCACATGTTCTATCTCATATATTTGTCCTACTATAAATATCTTGTGTTATTTCGATCAATTGTTGATAAGGTTGTTTATCGAAAAAAATTCTTTATCAAAGAAATCTATTGTATTATGATATTTTTCGCACATAAAATTTCAGCATCGTCACCGCTCTTTCAAACTTTGACAGTTCGATTATCGGCACGCAGTTATGCACACGAAACAAAATTTCCATTTCTATTTTTAATTCATAGAACTAGAAAAAAAAAGTTAAGCCGAGATTGAAGTTACTTTAAGTGTCTGCTTTGGCGAAAATTGACGTATATAATATTCGCCGATTTTTCTGATCAAATCTTTTCTTTCAATTGTCAAATCAAAATCGTAATAATTCTATTCTATTCATGTTTGATATAATTAACTTAATTATCGCCGATTAAGTTAATTTTGAGATTTCATCGAGACTGCCTGTATTTCTACCAAAGTAGATTAACTTTTAATCTCGGTTTAATTTATCTATTTATCTTTTTTTATCATTTTTAGAACTAAAAAAAGACACAAAATAAGTTAAGCCAAGATTATACAGAAGTGAATTTATTATCGATAATAATCTGCTTATAAACGTCGTTTTAGGACGAAAGTTCTCTCATGAAAACGCGTCGGAATGTATCTGGCTGGCGTGTGTACTGTGTAGTACCGCGACGTCCGCGACACCACCGAGTTACCGACCATGGTATGGATCGAGCTTCAGTCAGCAAGTCGCGAGGATACACGACGATTTGGTACATCGGGATTAGGATGACGCGATAATAATCCGTTAGCCACGGAGCCCTGTGCGACTCTCCCGAGGATATGCGCTGTGAGACACGCCGTGAAAATCGGTAGGAGTCCGTCCCGGCCGAGAGAGCGATCGGCGGAGAGCAAATAAGGTATTATGTCGACGATGGAGGGCTCGCTGAGCAAGTGGACCAACGTTGTTAACGGATGGCAGTACCGATGGTTTGTTTTGGACGACAACGCGGGTCTTCTGTCGTATTACACGGTGAGGATCTTAACCACGCGACCACGTCGTCGTCGTCGTCCCCATTTCCTCACCGCGACACTCGCCGCGTCGCGCGCCGTTCCACCCGGGCGAATTTAGGTTATCTCACTGATCCGTCCTTCCTTTTGCTTTTTCTCTCTCTCCCCTTCTTCAGAGCAAGGAGAAGATGATGCGCGGCGCACGTCGCGGTTGCGTACGACTGAGAGGCGCTATCATTGGCATCGACGACGAGGACGACAGCACGTTCACCATAACGACCAACTCCTGCAAGGACGACCCGAAGACGTTTCACTTTCAAACGCGCAACGGGGAGGAACGAGAACGTTGGGTGCGTGCCTTGGAGGACACGATACTCCGCCACTCTCACACGGTATGTATGTACACGAATGCAGACACTTGTGTATCTCACATATACACACACGCATGCACGTATGCGTGAAAGATAGAAATAATTGTTACTTTCCTCGGAATAATGTTGATAGGAGTAGTAAAAGTAATGTTGCACAAGATAGTTTTGTGGAGTACTCGATGTACAGCGTAGAAAATCAATTGTTCCAGAGATGGGACCCCAAGAAGTCGCCACCCAAGCAAGATTTCGATCGCAAGGTAGCCGAGGCAGACGTTTATCTGCAGCTTCTGATCGAGCAGATCAAACTGATCGAAGGTAAAAGGAACGAGGCCGAGGATGAGGAGAAGCAGAACAAATACTCCGCCGTTCTGTCGCAGGCCAACGCCATGCTCAATTCCGTTAAGCATACCATCGTTCAGTTGCAAATTGCGAAGGTACTTGGCGCATCGTCTTACCCTCCTCCCCTCCCCCAAGTTTTATGTTCTGTTACAATTGTGATCTTATATTTCGAATAACGCCTTCCAGAATACGGCGATACCTGTTAACGGAGTATACAGAGGACCATCGAATTCTATACACGTCTCACCTTCGCTTCCTCACGGTAAGGTATATTCCAAATTTCAATACATTTGTTTCTCGGTTACAAGATCACTGTTCGAAATTAGTAGTTTTGTAACTGGCACACAAAGAGAGACTTATTTATTTCCCAAAAAATGTCGAAATGGCTCACCGAGAAATACGATGAGATAAAAAAATGAAAGCAAACAAGATAGAGCGACATTTTGCGAAAGACTTGCTACAGATAAGGCTCGAGTTCAGTAATTTGCTCGCTTCAAAAACATTAAGGAAAAAGGGGAGAGATTATTCATGTGATCTTCTGATTGAGAACAATTGTATTTTTCTTCTTTTTTTTTATAAATGCATTTATATGAAAAACTACATCTCTAAAAACTCAATTTTAGCTGCGGCTGGAGCACCGGAGGCGACAGTGCAAACCGGCATTGAATTGGGGTCCGAGTGTGTGGAACCGAGAGTATCCACATTGCCAAATGGTTAATGTCGCTTTGTTTACGCTGCATTCTAATATTACTTAAGCAAGCCTCGAACTTAATAATGACTGAGGTATTATTTTGCATATTTCAGTCGTAGATCGGGATCTACCGGTACCACAGTTCTCGTACTCGTCTTCCGACGAGGACGACGATTACTTCGATGCCGCGGACGAGATATCACCTCCGGCAGTCCAGAATCATATTGCGCTGCAAGTATAAGTTAATTTTTATCGAGAAACAGAATCTTTTTTTCGTGCATGCCACTTTTTCGTTTCGTATATATATCTTTATTATGGTACACATACATTAATTTGATAAATTTTTATTAGAAAATTTATATTTCTAAAATTTTATATAAATACTCTTTTTTTTCCTTCAGATACTCAGATATCGAGCGATTACATTCGTCTCTAGAAAGTGCAACGGGAGACAAACGCAAGGAACCGCCTCTGCCGCCTATCAAAGGCGACGGATCAGTAGATTACGATGGTGAGTCAATACTTTCATTTCGATATGCGCTTTATTATTTGCTTCCATATTTTTTCATTTGCTTTTACTATTCAATCAAAACAATCGTTATACTTATCAAAATAATACATCGAGAATGGTTCAGAGACGAATATTTTTCCAGAGAAATTGTTTGTACTTGTAGATTTAGCTATCTAAAATTAGACAGGTGGGTATTTCATGTTCCATTATCAGTCTCGCACTTCGCTAATAGCTTTCCTTTTTTTTTTTTAGAAGAGATATGCTTAGGCGTAATGAATGTGAAAACCTAAAAACTTTTAACAATACTTAGACATGAAATATCACCTACGTGTCTTAAAGATCTAGTAAAAGATTTTAAAATCCTGTCTGTTCGGGCATCTCGCATATATAGAAATTTCATGTTTACAAAATAATCGTATATAAGATACAAGCCTGTACAATTTCTTTTTCTCGTGGCGTTGTCAGGAAGTGGAAGGTAAGTACATTTTTTCGAAGAGCAAAACGTTACTTCCTTCTCTTTGAAAATATGTATGTGTGTGATGTTTTTTTAATCAATGTATAGAGTTTGTGGAGATTAAATCTTTGAGTACGTTACATAAAAAAACCCCTCCGAAGTGGCAAGATAAGGTAGAGATATCTGTGTGATTGTACGATTTGCAAGAGGAATATCTCGCGCACGTATTTGCATAAAATAAATTACGAGCCAAGTAATTTGCAGTCAGAATTCAGAAGCGTTTAAGTTCAGGAGCGCCGCGGGCTTTGCGCCACCGGAGTTTTCCACTCGTCATCGTACGTGTCGATGAGACATTCTTCGTGTTTGTTTTTTTTTCTTTTCTATTTATTTCGCCACACTTTGAATGAGACACGGGAACTTCCGCGACCGCGTGTCCGCTCGCGTAAAAACGTCTTCTATTGTGTTCTATCGCTGATAATGCAGGCTGTGCACTCGGTGAACCCGTCTGTTTTATCCACCGCGACCATTATTGATCCTCCCGCGATCGTGGGCACTGCTCTTTTTGACGTGTATAAGTTGACGTTTCGCGAGCGGACACGCATTCGCGGAGGTGCTCCTCGTGTCTCGTTCAAAGGGGTGGTGGAATAAGTAAAGAAAAAAAAGAGAGAGAGAGAGAGACGAAGAATGTTGACGCGATGACGAGTAGAGAGGATAGACCCCGGTGGGACTCCACGTTCTTCGGTTCACCTTCAAATCGTAGTGCCCGACGAAGTGCTTTGCGTTAATAGAACACAATTCGGCAATTCGGTCCCGGGAATAAGGAGCTTAGGAATGGATACTAGTTGGTCTATCTTAGCCAGGCAATATGTTGGACATAACTTCAAGTCGTAAGTTTTCGCGTGCGACTGATATACATATTCATAGATGCGATATATATATATATATAATAAAAAAATTCAGGTTAACTTCTCGCGATTTCTCCCAATGTTTACTGGTACATTAACGTCGCCGAGTTCTCGAAATCGGCGGTATCCAACGAATTCCTTTGTGAAGAATATTTTTCGTACTTTAAAACTGTGTAAATTTGTTGTCTGTTGCAGCTCTCTACGAAGAAGAAAGCGAAACAGAAAGTACGTAGTAATGTCTGACTGAGCGAGCAACGATGTTGCAGGAAGTAATTCCGCGCATAATGACACATTTCTTTTATCGTTCTACAGTGGACTCCATGGAGAGTCACGGCTCAGTCGTGTCTCATCTTCTGTCCCAAGTGAAGATCGGTATGGACTTGACGAGGGTTGCGCTACCAACGTTCATCTTAGAGCGCAGGTCACTCCTTGAGATGTACGCGGATTACTTTGCTCATCCCGATCAATTTGTAAGGTACTTTTAATCATCCAGTTTAATAACGATCGCTTCGATATATATATAATATATATTTAGCATTCGGTCGCATCTGTCTTAACGCTGTGACGCTGCGTTTGGGGAGCGTGCTATCAGCAGGCTATTATATTATTTCGTCTTTGTCTTAAGGCCTCCAATTAACGATAAAGATAAATGTAATAGCGCCGATAGCGCGCAGCCTTGTAATAAATTTTTACATACTGATTACCAATACCATAATAAAAGAAGGACCAACTATGCTAATGCCATTCTTCTGAATCAGCATTGCAGATATGCCGACGCCTCGGGAGAGGATGGTGCAAGTGATCCGTTGGTACTTGTGCAGCTTTCACGCGGGGCGTAAATCTGGCGTGGCCAAGAAGCCGTACAATCCCGTGTTGGGTGAAATTTTTCGGTGCCACTGGAGCATACCCAATTCCTCGGACAGCGTTGTGGATTCCGCTAACAGGCTTGTGTCGGACGGTCCTGTACCGTGGTGCAAGGAGAATCAGCTTGCGTTTGTCGCCGAGCAGGTCTCTCATCATCCACCAGGTAGGTGGGAAAGCGTATCTTGTTTTCATCACACACGTGCGTTTCGTCTAACCGTCCGTGTCGCACGAAAAATAGCTACAATCTATCTTGTTGTAACTGTGATTTGATTTGCAGTTAGTGCATTTTACGCCGAGCATGTCGGGAAAAAGATTAGTTTCGGAGCTCACGTTTGGACGAAGAGCAAGTTCTTGGGTTTGAGTATAGGGGTGCACAATGTGGGGAAGGGCTGGGTGAATGTGCTGCAACACGGGGAGGAATACGTTTTAACTTTCCCTAACGGTTATGGCAGATCTATCCTCACTGTACCGTGGATAGAGCTGGGAGGAAGCATAACAATAAATTGCATACAAACTGGTTATCATGCGACGATAGAATTTTTAACGAAACCCTTCTACGGCGGTAAACGGAATCGGATCACGTGCCAGGCCTTCCAGGCGGGAGACAAGAAGCCGTTCCTCGTTATAAACGGAGAATGGAGCGGGTCGATGGAAGTGAAGACGTTGGATGGCGTAAGTTGAAACAGACATTAGAGAATGATCGTAACGTAACGTTAATTGGATGTTAAATGCTGCGGTGACAATTAGAGTTTTTGCATGTCCTTATGTATAAGTAAACTACTGTGAATAACGAAGATTAATATGTATTATATAATCGTCCGTGGGATGCAAAATCTGATTGTCGCTGAAAGAATATTTTGTTAATTTTTTTTTTTTTTTACAGAAGAGCGAACTGTTCGCCGACGTGAGGGAGCTCAGCACGGAGAGAAAACTAGTTAAAACGGTGTGCGAGCAGGACGAGTGTGAGTCGCGAAGAGTATGGCGTGACGTGACAGTTGGCCTACGTATCAACGATATGGATAAAGCTACGGCGGCGAAATGCGCGATCGAGCAGAAACAACGAGAAGAGGCGCGGCTACGAAAGGAGAGTAACGTACCGTGGCAAACGAAGGTGAGCGGACGATTCTTTTATTTCTATCCTTCCCATCTTACAGCGTTTTCGATTTGTTGACTCGATCCGACTCCGAGTCGATAGTCTGTTCTTTTTAATTTTGTAAAAGAATAGCTAAACTGTGCAAGAAACGCACAGTTAAAAAAAAAAAGTTAAAAAGAACAGACCATCGACTTGGGAGTTGAGTCGAATCAACAAATCGAAAACGCTATTAGTCTCTGTCGTATAATTATCGTTATCAACGATCCCTTTTCCTTTTGTTCAACAGCTTTTTAAGGAAACCAAAGACGGTGGCTGGGTGTACATAAGACCTCTCATAGACAGAATATACAGTTCTAGCGATCAAACGAATGTTACCTAACTATGTATACATGCGTATTACATGACAATGTTAGAGATGCAGCACAATACTAGAAGAGAAATCGTGGCCTACTGCCTGTACAAGAATTAATAATATCAGGCTTAATTCAGAAGAAGATATACACACGTTCGAGAGCGATTTCGGCGAATATTTTTATGCGTAATAAGCCACACTCTTAGTTTAATCTAGAGGAAAGAGGTAACGCAATATTATCCACTTTAATTTTACTTCTCGTATCACACGTTTTAGGTTTGCGTTTAATAAAAATATATTTGATCAGTAATAGAATACGAATTTTCACGATATAAAATTGTATCTCTTCTTTTCTCATTCTTTTGGAGTAATTTCACACACCGATAAGCTTCTATTATATCCCACATTTTTCAAATATGTGTACGTACGTGAAGTCTTTTATATATGTAACGTTTATTGACGCCGTGTAATTTTCTTATGAGAAAAGAAAAATTATATGTACAATTTACGCAAATACCTGTATACATCATGTTGTATAGATTGCATGCCATATTGTATACAAAAGTTTTACGATGTCACTAGTGGACGTAAATGATACGATATTCTAATTATAGAATTAATTATTTTTGCGCAACCTCGGATTTCTCATTGGCAAATACAGATTTCCAACCGATGTAAGGAATGGCTCCACGTTCCGTAGTTATGGATTTCTAAAATAAATTTATGCATTTCCTATGCACAAAACGAAATTCCCAATGATACTTCATTCTCATTTTGTAATTAATAATTTTCCCGTATATTCGTTTTCAAAAGGAATCAATTTTCTTCTTGCTCAAAAGAATTAAAATATACCATGGTACACAGAGAAATTGAATATATTTCTTAGATCTTTTCATTTAAAAAAAATTTATGAGCTGTTTAAATATTATGTCTAATGGGTTGTTCTGTTATGCTTATTTATGAGGAATGTATATGTGGTTATTAAACAACTCTTTTCTTTTTATTGCGTATAAAAATAGATGTACAAAATGTATATAAATGTATATAAAAATTAACTAACCATTTGGACAATAAGTTACGATATTTAGTTCGTTTTCTCTTGTAGGACAATGTAACCGAGAAAGTAGCCTGTGGCGGCAGTTCTGTAAATAGGAGGCAATCGTTTCGTCGACGATAACAAATAATTTAATCCAGCTTCCATTATCGGCAGACCCACCTCATGGCACTTGACATTAAAATAATTAGCGATTATAGTGACTTCATTCGTCTCGTACTTGTATAAAACTTTGGCAGCGCATTTCCGTTGTAAGGCTACAGTAGTTGTGGTAGGGACGTCAGTATCACAGACCGTAACGCGATCGGGCTCCGTAATTAGATTTAACTTGCAATCCATCGGCTTTATCAGAAGGCGATGAGTCTGCTTGCCGACGGACGTCTCCAGAGCGATCTCCTCGCCCAAGATCTCGCCCAGCGAGTCCTTCACGAGCGTCAGAAAATCATCGAGCGGATCGGTGGCGTTCACGATGGGCAGGCCGTCGTTCCGCGGCTTGTAATCTACGCAACAGTTCCATACCTTGAACAGGCTGTACGCGTGAATCGTGCCTATGTGCAACAGGCACTTGTTACACGTCAGCGTTTTGCTGTCGGCACATATGCCACCCTTCGCGAAGATGCTCCTGTGCAGCACGGAGAAGCAGGAGCCGTACAGGTAATCGGACTCCCGCTGCGGCCGCACGCCGCTGGGGACGACGTTGCAGCCGGCGTTGTGCTTGCAGCAGAACCACTCGCCGGGGTCGTAATCCGCGTCGGGCAGCGGTAGAAACCTCTTGAAGCCGATCGACCTCGAGATAACGTTTTTGCAGCAGGCGCACAGTATCGTGCATTCCGACGTTTCGAACAGCGACTTGATGTCGTTTAAAAAGGGCTGCAAGTGATCGGCGCTCGGGCGGGCCGATTTGTCCGAATTCGCCAGCACTTCCGTGCCGAAGGACCCGAATGCGGATTCCAGCGGCGCGGTTTGCAGACGGAAGCAGATCCAGCTGTTTATTATGCTTAACATAGACAGGGAGGTGGGTATGACCTTTACAGATGGCAGGGAGAAATTTATGCTACAATCATCCACTATTAACACCACGTCGCTCTCCAGGAGCTTGACTCGCACATCTTTCAGGCAGAGGTCCTTCCGTATGGAGATAAACACGTTGCAGGACTGTAAGCGTGGCCGTAGCTCTAACGTTATAAGCTCCATAACTTCATCTCGTTCAGCAGTAAGACCGCATTCCTGTGGAGCAGCAATGCGTCACTCCACAGTTCTGGAAATGCAATGCAAAATACGATTCTGTATTATCACTTATATGTTATATATATATACTGTCTCTTATACAC